GAGGATGCCAAACTCTGAGTAGAAATCCTGGGAAAGGTGTCAGAATAATACTTAGAAGAGACCTTGGGGTGAACCCTATACCATTTCAGAGAAATGGCTGTCCAATCTTTTCTTAAAAACTTCCAGTGACTGAGCACCCAGAACTTCTGGAGGCAGGCAGTTCCACTGGTGAATTGTTCTCACTGTCAGGAAGTTTCTCCTTAGTTTTAGGTTGCTTTTCTCTGTTCGGTTTCCATCCATTGCTTCTTGTTTGCATTCTGCTTCTTGGAAAATACATTGTCCCCCTTTCTTTGTGGCAGCCCCTTAAAAGCCTGTTGCCTACATCACACTCTTGAGTAAAGCATGTGAGACATTTCCTCCTTTCAGCGGTGCATGAAAGTACATCTATAGTATGCAGATAATAAAGTCAAAAAAGGTGAACAACATTTTTACAGAACTATAGATAAGTTGAGGCTGGGTGACAAGGAATGGCTGGGAGGGGAGGGGCCAGGTGAGGCACCCCTTGATGTGAGTGACATTGAGTTGGCCATGCCCACCCAGTCACATGACCACCAAGCCACACCCACCCAGTCACATGACCACAAAGCCACGCCCACCAAACAAGCCACGCCCATAGAACCGGTAGTAAAAAAAATTGAATTCCACCACTGCCCAGTCTATACTTGGGGTCCTTTGGGTTTTTCTTGCCTACGTGTAGGACTTTACTCTTCTCTATATTGAATTCTATTTTGTTAGATATGGCTCAGGGTTCAAGTCTGTCAAGATCCATCTGGATCTTGAGCCTATCTTCTTGGGGGTTAGCTATTCCTGCCAGCTCAGTATCATCTACAAATTTGGTAAGTTCCCCTTCTATTCCCTCATCTAAGTCATTAATGAAGATATTGAAGAGTCCTGGGCCTAAGACGGAACCTAGTGGCACCTCACTGCTTACTTCCCTCCATGTAGACTTAGACCCATTAAGGACTACTCGTTGAGTAGGGTTCGTCAGCCAGTTGCGAGTCCATCTAGTGGTGGTGTTATCTATTCCACTTTTTTTCTAGCTTACTAAGAAGTAGGTTGTGGTCTACTTTGTCAAATGCTTTGCTGAAATCTAAATATATTATGTCCACGGTATTTTGCTGGTCTATGAATTTAGTCACTGTGTTGAAGAATGAAATGAGATTGGTTTGGCATGATCTGTTCTGAACAAACCCGTGCTGACTGCTAGTTATTACTTTGTTTCTAGATGTTTGCAGATGTGTTTTTTTATTCTCTTTTCCAGTATCTTCCCGGGCATTGATGTTAGGCTGATTGGCCTATAGTTTCCTGAGTCTGTTTTTTTTCCCCCTTTTTTGAAGATGGGAACCACATCGGCTCTTTTCCAGTCCTCTGGTAGTTCCCCGGTGCTCCAGGATTTTTGAAAGATATGGTGCAGTGGTTTGAGATGACCTCTGCCAGCTCCTTTAAAACTCTGAGATGTAATCCATCAGGCCCCGGTGATTTGTTTTCATCAAGATCAGACAGGTGTTCTCTTACTATTTTTTGCTTATTTTAACCTTTATTTCTGGTCTATCTTTTACAGTTATGTTTTTGGTGGGTTGAGCTATAGTTTCTTTTTGCAAGAAGACAGAGGCAAAGAATGAGTTGAGCAGTTCTGCTTTCTCTCTGTTGCCTGTTACTTCCTTGTCATCTTCTCTCTTTCGTGGACCGACTATTTCCTTGATTTTTTTTCTTGTTATTTATACGTTGGAAGAAACATTTTTTATTATCTTTGACTTTTGTTGCAATTCTTTGTTCGTTCTGAGCCTTTGCTACCCTGGCTTCGTCTTTGCAGATTCTGGCTATCTGCTGATATTCTGCCTTAGTTGTACGTCCTTCTTTCCTTTTTTTGTACTTGTCCTTTTTTTTTCTTTCAATTTGCCAGAGAGATCTTTGTGCAGCCATGCTTGTTTTTTCTTGGATTTCTTGTTTTTCTTTCTCAGTGTTATGGTGCTGGTTTGGGCTCCTAAGATCGTACTTTTCAGAGTTTCCCAAGATTCTTGAGTTGTTTTCCCCTTTAGGATTTTCATCCATGGAATCTTTCCCAAGTTCTCTCTGAGTTTATTGAAATCAGCTCTTTTAAAATGCAAGACTCTGGTGTCATTATGTTCTGTTGCTTGTGTTTGTGTTATGTTGAATTCTAGTATGACATGGTCACTCTCACCCAAGGTTCCTGCCGTTTCAACTCCCTCTATCACTTCTTCTCTGTTTGTAAGAATTAAGTCCAGTATGGCTGTCCCTCTAGTTTCACCCTCTACCTTTTGGACAACAAAGTTGTCAGCTAGATTGGTTAGGAACTTATTTGATTTCTCACTTGGTGCAGAATTAGTTCTCTAATTGATATCAGGATAATTGAAGTTACGACCGCAATTTGAACCTAACATTGTCCCTTTTGTGACCTGGAGCCACGCTATTGGCCACACACACACACACACCTGGCCAATCACAGCCCTGATGCGGCCTTCTGTGAAATTGACTTTGACACCCCTGGTATAGGGTCCCCTACTTGCGGAGGAGGGGTGGACAAGAAGACCTCCAAGGTCCCTTCCAGCTCAATTCTGACTTCCACCCCAACCCACCAGATACCTGGTTTGTAGAGGGTGAGTTATGGTATTGTCCCCTCCCTTCTCAAAACCACACAATAAGTCAGGACACGCACAAAGGGTGTGTGTGTTGAAATCAGAGGTGGGATTCATGTCTTAACAACTGGTTCTGTGGGCGTGGCCTAATATGTAGGTGTGGCTTGCTGGTCATGGCTTGCTGGCTGGGCGTGGCTTGTATGTAAATATTATAAATATTTATATAAATATTGAATTTTTTATTAAAAAAGAGCAACTTTTACCCAGAACCAGGCAAAGCAGGTGGGCAGATTGAGTTGCTCGCAGAATCACAGATTCACTCAGAGATCTACCTTTCTGCCATCGGCCACCTGAGTCTGCACTGAATAATAGAAGCTTCAGTCCTAAGGGAGTTTCGGCTCTGCTTTTAGTTAGAAAGCAAGAAATCCAACAATTTCCTGCTTTCTAGCTAATCTAAATCTCCTGGCAGAGCTGATAGCAATTTACCAAAAATTAGGTGAAAGCACAACACAGGCAAGTTGGATGGCGCGCATGCCAGGTAAGGGGTGAGTAGGCGGGGAGGGGCCAGCCAGTGGCATGATTTGCCGGTTCTCTGAACTGGGCAGAATCCTAACAACCAGTTCTATAGAACCGGTGCGACCCAGGTAGAATCCCACCCCTGGTTGAAGTCCGTCCTGACTTGGAAGTGAGATAGGTAAGGAGGGGGAGTGGGCTTCAAAGGACCCTGCTTTTGGGGAGGTAGGCAACAGAAAAGGGGGAAGGGGGATGGGAGGGCTTCAATGGGAAATAAAGGACAGGTAAGTCCTTGACTTACAACAGTTCGTTTAGGGACCGTTCAAAGTTACAACGGCCTGGAAAAAAGCAACTTATGCCCATTTTCACACTTATGACCGTTGCAGAATCTCCATGTTCCCATGACTCATGTTGGCAACCGGTTCCTCTTTATGATGGTCACAACATCCTAGGGTCCTGCGATCCCCTTTGAACAAGCAAAATCAATAGGGAAGCCCGATTCATTTAGCGACCGGGTTGTTAATTTAACAACCGAAATTCAATTAATTGTATATCACTCGGCCATGTAAATTCTGGGCTCTTTAGCAGTCATAAGTCAAGGATTAAACTGTTCCTTTCCTTTGCGACAAAATCGCATCAAATTTCTTTTACTCATCCATTTTTCTCTGCTGGGATGTTGCGTTTTTTGTTTGATTAGCAGACTGTTTGGGTGCTTCAAAAAATAAATAATAAAGAATCATTAACAGTTTGAAAAGCTATTTTATTAGAAACCATGCAACTTTTAATAGATATATTTATATATATAAAACAATCACGAGCGCAAGAATTCTCGGTGGGAAGATGCAAACCGCGGTCTACTCGGAAAAGAGCCCCCAAAGGAGCATCCGGACCCCGGTAGGAAAGAGAATAAGGTTATTTATTTTTTAAAATTATTTTTACACAGTTCCCGTCCAACGCCTTCCGACGTAAATTCCCCCATATACCCCCGCAATCACCCCGCCCGGCTTGCTTGAAGAACCTCCTTCTTGTTCCCCGCAGTTCGAAAGCAAAATTCCACAGGTTGTTTTTAAATTTTATTTACAACTCTTTCGTTTTTAGTGTCGTTTGCAGTGTGGAAGACGGAACGCAGACAGGGAGCTCCTCGCGAGACTCAAAGCCAGAGGGACCCGATTCCCATCCTGCACAGCCCGGCGTTTTCGGATCTTCAAACACTTTCTCTGTCTCCCTACCCAATTTTTTCTCCGACATTCCAGTGCATGTCAGTGTCCCTTGGTGGTCGCAAAATCTCCGGAACAGATCCTCAATATGGACCGCTCAAGATTCCTGGTGTTTCATTTTTTTGGAAACCACCTGCAAAGGCAGGGGTATCTCAAAGGAAACCCACCCAGTATTTGTGCAGGAGTGGCCGACTTTCAATGCCCACCAGGAAGCCATTTTTTGCAAAGACCCAGCTCTACATCATCCGTTTTCTCGTACAGCGCCCATCTTCCCACTTGCTCGCCTGTCCACTTTCATCTCCACTATCCATCCCACACACCCCCGGGGGGAGGTGGCTTTTGAGTCCCTTGGCTCCATCGTTCTCCAAATATTTTGAAACACACACGCAAAAGAACCACCACACCAAAGAAAAGAAAAAAGAAAGAAAGAAAGAAAAGAAAACAAAAACAGAACACGGTTTAAAATGGCAGGATATGTGGATAACAAAGCCAACAGCGCTGCAACAGCAGATAGATAATGGTGCGGGGGTTTTTTTTGTTTTTGTTTTAATTCTCCTATGGCGCAGGGGAAAGGCGGTGTGGATGAGCGGGGAGAGAAGCGGGAGCTGGCGGGGAAGCCACAGGGATCACGCTCGGCACGGCCATACTGCTCCGTTGGGGCACAAGGGGAAGAACGAGAAAATTAAAAGGTTAGGCGTTGTTTGCGGGGGTTGCTAATGAGCATGACGTTATATGTGAGAGCGCTAAACGGGGTGCAGAGGAGACCCACGGGATGGAAGAAAGTTGGAAAGAGAAAGGAAGAAAGCTTGCCCCCCTTAACTCTCATCAGCCTTTGAACCCCTTTCTCGTTGTCTTGAGCTGGGTTTTCCACGCGGCTCACTAAGAAGGATCCAATATTTGTGTGCTCAATTCGCAATTTGCACTTCGATCCCGGCATTCAAATAAGCAAGGATTTGAAATGAGACTGGGGAGGCCTGAGGGGGAGGAGGACTCCCTGTCCAGAAGGTCTCCCCATCCCATCGAGTCCAGGAATCGCGTAAAGGTTCAACTGGCAAACTATTTAACTGCAGCCCCACCGAAGTCCGAGCAGGTGGGCGGTGACGGATTAAGGGAGGCAAGCTGAGATTCTGGGGGGGGGGGACATTTGGGGTGGGGGGTAGGAAACGGGGCAGGAAAGTGAGTCACAAGCCTGGCCGAGAGAGCGCAGCAGAAGTCTCTTCCGCGAGGGGAGCCTGCCAGGGCAGCCGCGGGGGCAAGGAGGACATGGCGGTGTTGGTGTTGGTGCCCAGGCTCTCGCTGACAGAGGTGCTCAGTGGTGGTGGGGAGGAGGAGGAGGGGCTGCCGGTGCAGGCCGCAAAATCTGCCCCGTGGTCCGTGCGTGCCTTGGCGTTCTCACGGAAGGTCAACTTGTGCGATTCAATCTGCAGCGACACATTGGGGGGGAGCGGGGAGGAAAAAGGAGAGTGGGAAGAGAAAAGGGACGGAAGGAGACACCAGAATGTCAGCATTAAAGGCCTGGAAAATAAAAGGCAATTGATTGCATTAATGACGTTAGCAGGAGACAACAACACTTGCAAGCAACCATTCAGGGTTTAATTCCCTCCCACCCCTCCAAAGCCCTGAAAAAAAAACCAAAACGAATTCAGTGCCAGTTTCCCAGGGCACTTACTTGTCTCTTCGATTTCACTGTCATTGAAGCTTTGATCACCTTTGCCCTGTGACGGCACAAGCGCCCCTGCGCCATTCTCCTGTGGGGCACTGCTGCCCGATGGGGGCGCTTCGTTCTCCGGGGCTGCCTCCTTGCCCTCCTCAGTCTAAAAGGAAACAGTTGGGGTGGGGGAGGACAATGAAGGGTCACTACACAAGAGGGAAGGGGGTGGAATGCACGGGACGACAGCCGGGAGGTAAAAGCCTGCTGCCTTACTCTGGAGGAGACACACCGAGAGTGGAAAGGAGACGACTCCTCGCAGCCAACCCCTCACCACAGCAAACCCGCTGTGGCTATTTTGCCACGGCCATCTCTCCTGGGTCACCTCGCCTCAAGAACGCATGCTGCAGGGTTGTTACCCGTCCACTCTGTCTTCGACGTTTTGTCCATGGACAAAGACGGCGGCAGAGAATATTCACCAGGGTATCTCACGTGGAATTGTCCTGGCGTATGAGTTGGGCGTGGCGTGATGGCTGCGGCAGGTTGCCCCAGCGAGATGGCTTACATCAAGTTGGCTGCGGTTAGTTGTCCTAGACCAGGGCTCAGCAACCGTAAACATTAAAAGAGCCACGAAAGGTCCTAACCGGAACCCGCCCCCACTCCCCGGTTCATATCTGGAGCTGACCAGACTCTATGGCAGTTCCCCCACTCCATAGAGTCTCCTCCTAGCATGGCGTCCTTTTTTCCTCTACCTGTCCTAACCGAAAGCCCTATCAATTGTGCAGCCGACCGGCAACAGGGAGCCGCAGCACAGGGAGGAAAGAGCCACATGTGGCTCCATAACCGCAGGCTGCCAACCCCTGTCCTAGACAGAGAGGTTTCGCGTGCGACTCTTCCGAGCAGATGATCATTTCCTCTGGGGCGAGACCGATCCCCTTTCCTTTAATCTCGTCTCTGCTGCTCAGCTCCTCACTTCCTCTGTCCTGCATTCCAGCCCAAATATTCTGCTTTTCTGCAGGGTTGGCTGTGATGTGAAGACGTGAGAACACGGTGGTATGTGGGGAACAGTGGTGGAGGGATGACAGACACAGGTGAATGTTGAGAAGGACACTGGGAGAGGACCTGTCCTGTCCCTCACTCCCCCCCCTCCTGATTTTCACTGATGTCTCTGTGGTAGGCAGCTCAAGACAGGCACACAAGATGAGTTAAAGCTACTACAGGGTGCAACTCTCCAATTGTCGAGACGCCCGCAACGGGGATTTTCAGAGATGTTAACACTCTCTGCTGCCGAGGAACCTGGATGGTCTTTGTAGCAGTCATCAAGGATCGAAGACAACCTTAAAGTAATCCTTGACTTACAGCTACAACTGGGAGTAGAATGTCAACTCGTAAAATATTTCTATGGTCTTTTTAGAGTTGCCAACAGAAAGGGAGGGGGCAGCAGTGCAGCAGCTTGCAAACCGAAACCGCATTCTACAAATGTTTTCAGAGTTAGTAACTAGGGGACTGAAGTTTCTGCCATGCAAAATTCTAACTGGAGAGCACGATTGATGACTCTGGGCTATGGAGGTGTCCCATTGGAGGAATTATGACATACCCAGGTGGTGGTGGGGAAACCAGGGTCAAGGGGGACAAGGAATTATGGCGTCTCAGAGTCAGCTACACCCAGGCAGTGCCGGACAATTTAACTCCCAATAAAACCTTTGGAAGTTTGGCTCAAGACTTATGATTTAAATGGGGGTAACTGCCGGAATCCTGACATAGAATTTTGTTCGCTAAACAATGTGGACATTAAACAAATCCTCACATGACTGGACCCGGCTTTACAACCATTTTTACTGTGGCTGTTAAATGAATCCCGTGATTGTTAAGTGAACCACATGGTCGTTAAGTGAACCTGTCTTCTGTCTTCATTGAGCGAATCTGTTGACTTTGCTTATCAGAAGTTAGCTGAGAAGGTTTAAAGTCACTCTTACGGGACGGCGTCCACTATAAATGGATTCGGCGACCAAGCCGCCCACCACTTGCGATCAGGTGACTACAGCAGTGGGCTGTAACAGTTGTAACTTTGAGGATGATCCACATGTCGCTTTTTCCAAGGCTGTCATTGCTGCTGATTGATCGATCGATTGACTGGATGGTGGGGAACGGAAGGATTGATACTCCTCCGACGGTCATTTGCCTTCTTTTTTGGAGAGGTGTTGAGGCCACTTGAAGGTTTGCCGATGAGCCTTCAAACTGCTGAATATCCCGCAGAAAGCACAGCTCCACAACACAGTCCTTTCAGCGGTGCCAAGAAGGCTACACACCCGTTTGCGCTCCTCAGGTGACCGCCGAGGACACCGACAAACCTCCACGTAGCCTCAAAAAACAACACAAACGACCAGCAAGGAGTACCAAAATCCTTCCGTTCCCCACCTTCCAATCAGAAGCGGAAGAAGCTTCTCGAAGAAGCGAAAAGTCTTCAAAGAAAAACCAAGGAAGTCCAAATCATCCTCTTCTTTTAATGACCCCATAATCCCTTGCGGGGTGGTGTCTGGGCCATTGAAGGGAACGGAATGTTTACTGGTCGGATGCCCTTCTTGTTGCCAATGCGGAGTTATATTCGGCAGACATATTCTCAACGTGCCTAGAGAGAGAAACATCTGCCTCTACCTAGAATTGAACTCATACCCTCCTGATTGTAAGGTGAGGACTCCACCTCTGGGCCACTCCCAAGAAAGTCCAGTTGCCCCTTGAAAAATAAAAAAAAAGGCACATTTGGGACGGTTGTTAAACACACGGTTGTAAGTCAAGGACTACCTCTTTGGGACATGTTGCGGAGTCGCCCCTTCTCTGGTGGAGAGGTAGAACGGGGATCGTCAGGGATGACGACGTGCGAAGGGGAGCTGGACCGTGTGGAACCCCTTCTCTCAGCCCACCTCACGTCTACCAAGAGGAAGGATGGAGGTGAGCCGAGGAGGTGGGAGAACTTCAACGTGAGATCTTCCACCTCGGTTCCTCCGGCTTTGCTGCTCTTACGGACCCAGCACCCCCGAAGGTCCACTATATTTAGCAAGGCCTCAGGGCACTTTCCACCTAGTGGATTCCAGAGATTCGATTCTTCAACGGGCCACTAAGAACCTCTTGGTTCATCCATGGTGAGGAACCTCAACGAGGGTAGGCTTCAAACGTACCTTCACAGTGCCCCCGGCTGGCACGTGCCCGACGTTGTCCAGGGAGCCCACCTTCGCTTGGGCTTTCCCCTTGAAGTTCAACTTCTGATGTTCTATTTTAACATCTCCACCACCTGAAAGAAAACAGGAATGTAATTCTCACCAAAGGTCCCATCGTCCATATTAGTGGTCTGTGGGGTTTAAAATTATGAATTTGGTGGTCGCTGAGGTCCAAAAGATCGGTGACCCCTGAAGTAGCCCCACACCTCCCTTGGTGGCCACCAACTTCTGCATCTCACCTGGCTTATGCTTAATGTTGGTCTTGGAACCGCACTTGGAAGACACCTTCGAAAGGTCAATTTTCTTGTTCTGGATCTGAACCTACAGAAGAGAGGAGAAGGCAAGAAAAGGGAGAAGTGAGGTTTGAGAAGCAAGCCCAGGTCCTTCCACACGTTCTCCAGATGTTTCCAGGGGCCAAGTGTCCCAGATGTTCTCCTCCCGCCAGATCCAAGCTAACAAAGCTGTTCTTTCCGGAATGTGCAAGGACACCAGAAGTCTCCTGCAGCACAGAAATGGGGTCCTGCAATGTGAGCAGACCGCCATAAAAACAAGAGTTGGGCGATGATCCAGAGAAGAAGAAGAAGACCTATCCAACGAGAACGGACTTGGCTAGCAAAGCCATCCATCCCAACATCTCTGATCTGTCAACGGCGCTCTAGAAATCTCTTGACTACAGAATAGATGTGCTCAGCGTATATTTAATGCAAGGTGAAGATCTCTGCATAGTTTATTCCAAAGTGCTGATGCGGTGGGATAGGAACAGAAGAAGAAGAGAAGCTGGAGCAGAGAGGAAAGGACTGGATGTAGGACCTCTGGGGCCTTCAAGAAGATCGGGAGGAGGGTTGAATTCTAAAAGCTCCCACCCCAAGGAAGCAGCCCTGGACCCCCTCTGCTTGGGCGTCAAGTCTTCTCCAATCTTCTCCAGAAGTTTAAACGAGTGGGATTCAGCCGGTTCGTAACGGTTAAAGCAAACCGGTTGTTCTGGCGATTAGTTGGCCCCTGCCCTAGTCTGTGCTATATTTCCTAGTTTCGCAGCCCAGCTGATTCGCGCGCCTCAGCAGAAGAAGGTAAATGTCAGGATTCCGGCAGTTACTCCAATTAAACTATAAGCTGAAAAATGGGGGATGCTCAAATGCTGCGCGAGGCGCATCCGCTCACCGAACCGGTTGTTAGACTGGTTGAATCTCCTTCAGGGACCACCAAGAACTCGGAGACGCTTGGTTACATAATCCCAGTGGCAGTGAAAAATGTTTATTTATGACCACCACCATCCCCCCAAAAACCCAGAACCAAAGCAAGAAAGAACAAGAAGATCCATTGTTCGCTCGTTGCCTAATGCCCGATAGTGTTGTGTTTCCTACTTCAACACAATGCAACACAACATTCTGTTGGCCAGAGGATTCAAGGTTCTTATCCTGCTTTTCAAGTTCAACAATCTCGGTCGGTTCCTGGATGTCATGAACGTTGGAGATGTTCTTCAGGAGATCAAAGGGACATGTTTGGGGTGGGGCAAAGATGGGACGTTGAATCTCTCTCTCATACACAAACACACACACACACTTATCTATCCATCCTCCCTCTCTCTCACACACAATCTCTCTCTCTCCTCTCTCACACACATCTATCTATCTATATCTATATCTATCTATCTATCTATCTATCTATCTATCAATCTATCTATCATCTATCTAAGTATCTATCATCTATCTATCCATCTATCAATGTATCTATCTATCTATCTATCTATCTATCATCTCTGTCTATCTATCTATCTATCTATCTTCTATTTATCATCATCTGTCTATCTATCTATCAATGTATCTATTTATCTATCTATCTATCTATCTATCTATCTATCTATCTATCATCTCTGTCTATCTATCTATCTTCTATTTATCATCATCATCTGTCTATCTATCTATCAATGTATCTATCTATCAATGTATCTATCAATGTATCTATCAATGTATCTATCTATCTATCTATCTATCTATCTATCTATCTATCTATCATCTATCTATCTTCTATTTATCATCATCATCTATCTATCTATCTATCTATCTATCTATCTATCTATCTATCTATCTATCTATCTATCTATCTATCTCTACCTACCTACTTACCTATCTATCTCTATCCTTTATCTGTCTGATATTATCTATCTCTTTCTTTCTATCTTATCTATCTTTCTATTATCTATCTATCTATCTATGCACATCTCTCTCTCTCTCTCTCATCTACCGTGTTTCTCAGAAAACAAGGCTGGGCCTTATTTTTTTTTGACTCCCCCCAAAACGGCTAGGCCATCTTTTTGAGGGGTGCCTTAATTCCACCCCCACCCGTCCCGCCTTGCCACCGGGCCACTTCTACCGCGGCCATTAGGGCGCATGTGGGATGAGTCCAGCAAGTTCCCCCACCCTCCGCCGATCCCCCCATGCCTCTTCACCTCGTGTTGTCTGCACTTCAAGTGATGTGAGAAACGGAAGGGAACGCAGGTGCCTAAATAGGCCCAAATTTTAGGGGCAGGGCTTAATTTAACTACGTGTGCACAAACTCGTGCTGGGCCTTCGTTTTGGGGGAAGGCGTATTTTTTGGAGAAACACGGTACCTCTGTCCTCTCCCGCTCTCACTTTTAGCCTCTGCCCGTCTCAAAAAGGTGGAGAGTCCCAAGCCGAGGACCACTATGTTCCATTCTTTGGGTCGGTGATTTGGAGAGAATATTTGAAGCTCAGGGTTGAACCGGGGGGTCCTTGGTACTCTTTGAGCTAGGTGGTTTCCTTGCAGACATCTCGTGACCCAACTAGGAAATGTTGTCAGTGCTAGAAGGGAGCTGGGTTTGTAGGGAGGAGCAGGAGGAGAATAATTATGGAGGTCATTGCTGCTCTTTGAATTTGGTGGGGTTTTTGCACTCTTCTATACCAAATAAATGGCTGTCCAACTTCCTCTTGAAAACCTCCAGGGATGGAGGCGAGTCGTTCCAATGATGAATTGTTCTCACTGTCAGGAAATTCCTCCTTAGTTATAGGTTGCTTCTCTCCTTGATTAGTTTCTAGTTACTTAGGCTACCCTCAGTGCTTTGGAGAATAAGTTGACCGCTTCTTCTTTGGGAGAGTCCCTCAAGTACTGGAAGATGCTACCATGTCACCCCTCATCCTTCTCTTCGCTAGACTAGTCACGTTGCTGCAACCATCCATCCTACACTTCAGCCTTCAGTCTGCTGATCATCTTTGTTGCTCTCTCTTTAACCACTCTCTGCATCCCACAGCTGATCATGGTTCTCCAACAGTCAAACTCTTCAGATTTTGGGAGATTTGGGGTGACCTGTTAGTAGCAGGAGAACCTCAGACACAGGTGACATTGGAAGACCCATCATCTCCCGCAAGAGTAGAGTTGGCAGGATTAAGGTCCTATGACACCACACAAAGGTGGAAACTCCATAACACCAAACGTCACTTGGCCAAGGACGTCCTATGACATTGGGAGAAGGTAGAACCTCCATAACACCAAAAGTCACTTGGCCA